ATACGAACCGAATACGAAGCGTGTATAAAACGATTACGAAACGTATTTGAAGCGCACACGAAACGCATACGAAACTGATACGAAACGAATACGCAATGCATCTGACACGTAAACGAAACGCGTACGAACCATACGCGCAACATTTACGAAACGTAACCGAACACACAAACGAAACGTAAACGGAACGCACACGAAACGGATAAGAAACGTATGCGAAGCGTCGTCGATGAAATGAACGCTCCCGGGCGCCGTCACAGCGCTCGCCGCTCACAGGAAGCACGGCCAGGGCACCCCCAGAGGGGGCAAACAGGGAGCGGCCCACTCACTAGAACCACAACACAACTACAGCTATTATTCCTATTCTGCCGAAAAAATCAAGGAGAAGCGGACGGACTCGTGTTACAAGTTTTGTACGAACAAACGCGCCATTTTTCTCTGACATAGGAAAGCCCAGCGGGTGATATCCGCCAGGAAGAATAACCGCCCAACAAGAGCGAACACGGCGAATATTATTGGGCAAAAATTCAACAGCCGACCCCCGCACCCGATTGCCAAGCCAGAGCGCTTGGGGGGGCAGCATGAAACACCGATCGCGTTTATGGGGGGAAGTTTCAAGCAGCTTCCTCTGGCGGCGCGCGCACGGGCGGGCAGCGGCGAAGGGATGTTTTTTTGAGAATGCGAGGGGGGCATCCTTGTTCAAGCGGGCGTTCCCTTCTGGAGAGCGCTTGTGCCTTCTGTGAACGCACCCCCCCTTGCCATGGCATCTGTGCTCGCCACCAGCCCATGAAGTTTTCGAGAGCGCTTCTAAGAACAGCTCTACGGTCTTGATCAGACTACCCCTCGTCCTTCACATTCACATCCGGCTTCTCCTCACATGCGCCTAGGACCCGTGGGGCTCCACGATATTATTGAGCACCTATTTCTTTGGGACCATGCTTGGGAGCTGCGGCACTTGGCATTGGTCTGCTAAGGGCCCACCTCCCGTGGCAGGACGCACAAATCAGGTGCTCGTGTCATGGCGGTCGCTACGCAGGGCACACTACATGTAGCAATGCGAACATGACTTGTTGCCACGAAGAGCACGCCCAAGCGGAAATGAGTCTGTCGAGTTCCCTCTCTGCTCGTGCTCTCCTGCTCCTCCCACGGTTGTTACTCCTCGCCTGTTTCCTCCCCCTCATCCACCTCCTATATTTTACTTCTGCCACGAAGCTGGGCCAAATAGCACGGTTAAGGCGACCTAGGGCCATACGTTTCTTAATTAGTTGGATTCCCATTCGGCCACCTCGCCGACCGATAGCCGCTCCTTCCAGAGGGGGGGGGGGGGGGGGCATCACATTTGCAAACCAAAAACATACAAAAATTTAAATATGGACGGTTGAGCATCGACGGTGCGTGGTAGGAATGGAACGGGGCCCACATCGCGCGCAAAAGAGCATAATCTCGTTCTCGTTTCGGCGCAGCGCAGGTGTCGGCTTAACGTGGTGCGCCCCCCTTGCCGCGGCGCAATGTGATCACTCGCCAAGTCGCTTGGGGCGGGGCGGCGCGCGAGCGGGTGACTTATCGCCCTCGCTTTCAGCTCCGTGCTGGTTTCACATGGAAGTTGCGTTCTCGCGCGGGCGCGGCGCATGTTTTGATCGCCCAATCGCCGCATCTCATGAAAGCAGCACCAGCGGGGCCGCGCGAAAGCTGGCGAAATGCTGTCCTCGCTTGAGCGCCGCGCAGCTTGCGCGTGAAGGTGGCAGTGTTGTTCCGGCGCGGCGCATGCTTCGTCTTCGCCGCGCTCATCGGATATTTGGCCGCCCAAGAGAGGTATAAATGATGTCCTCGCTGGAGCGCCGAGAAGAGATTTTCTGTAGTTCCGCTCATACCCGCGCGCCGCCCGCTTTTTTCCATTCGCCAAGGTCATCTGAAGGCGAGCGTCTTCCCTTCGTCAGGTGCGAACGCATCCCAGTCCTCATGCCAGGTTGTGCAACACTTGATTCTTATGCTATGGGAGGGGACGGGAGGGGACGGGGCCCTCTGTCCTGGCTGAGTTGGCCAATCATGACTCATCCCCTCACTTCCATGGGCCTTCCTATGCCGACGCCACCCTTCTATACCCCGCGCTAGTGCTCGGAGCCCCGCGGGTGCCGATGGTCGGCTCCGCCGCCGCGCCGGTTGAGGGCGCGCGGGCGCCACGGTCCACGCGCCGCGGCGCGTTGCGGCGGCCACCAGGCACCTCGGGCGCCCGCTGCCGAGGTGCCCGTGGGCGGGCGAGGCGGATGGAGGCGCACCCCTCCTCTCCGCCCGCCCATCCGGCACCGCTCTGCGCCCTTCGAGGACCCGAGAAGCAGCTCGCGGGGGTCCCGCTGCCTGGACCTCCCGTCCTCCCAGAGCGCAGAAGTGGCTGGACGATCACGCAGGATAAGTTCGGTCCTATCATGAGCCAGATCTGAATGCGGACGCTCATGAAAATACCGACAAGACGTGCGCCCTCACCCACTCCCAGGAAAGAGTTTGC